TGTTATCCCTGGTTCTTAAGTACAATTTATGCAGTGTATTAATACTGCTAACCAAAATTCTTACTATTCTTTCTCCAGCTGGACATCATGTGTTAAATTTCTGGCTATGTAGTCATCAAACGCCGGGAGCACTGTGCAGCCAGCACATCAGTGTCTCTGGGGATGTACTGCCTTGTTTCACTGAAGAGTCTCCCTTAGATGACCTGTGAGTGGTGTTGAACAGTACTAAGCTATCCTTAGTACATAAAAGACAAATAGAAGGGAGAAATACAGATTTTGTAAGATTTGCCTTGCATATTCAATCAGGATTTTTAACACTGTTTGCAGAACATTTGCAGCTGATGTACAGAAGAACAAAAAGTTATCAAGCATCTGTTCACTTCTTAGGCTAAGCTGACCGTTATTGTTTGGATGCAATAACATGCCTTCCATTCCTGCTGCTGTAATGTGACAAAAAAAAATTATATCAACCTATGTCTTCATTTTCTAATGTTATATTAGATCAGTCAAGTGAAAGTTCTTGAGTATCACTGCTTATTTGACCTGTTGGTTGTATAAAAAGATTTTGCTAATTTATTTATTTAAAGATTCCTTCTCATCACTACGATGACAGTTTTCATAATATTTTAAATGTGCTCTGCAACTTTTTTTATGGATTAATAATACGTTTTGTGCACCAGCCAACAGCTTCTTCTGTGAGATAGGTTTATAAAATACTTGGTTGTTTCAGGAAAAATCTTTGATTGTACACTAGTTGCTTTCAAGTACATCATATCCCCTTAAAATACTTCCTCGTAGGCAATCCTCTGTGATTCTTGAGCTAGGAGCACAATTAGAAGAGATATGATGAGAAGACTTCCTGAGTTCCTGATCACCTGACTGACATTCTGAAAAATCAATAGACTTTACAGTTTTATCACTGTAATTATTTTCTTTTGCATGGGCAACTTTTGTAGTCGATTGTAGTCATTCTTTCAGATTCTCATCCAGTTGGAAAGCAAACATATCTTGGTTTTCCACATTTTAAGTTGCCCTGTATTACTGGAAAGCCAGTGAGAAAATCATAGCTCTTGTACTTCATCACAGAAATATCTGATCAGTTGGCAACCCTGCCCATGCAGGGGGTTGGAACTAGAATGATCTGATTTGAGGTTTCTTCCAACCGAAGACATTCTATGATTTCATGATTTAAATAAATATTTATACTTTTTTTTCTACCTTAAAATACATTATTCGTGGTTAATTAGTGCAGTGGTTGGATAGACACTTGCACACTCAACATGTGAAGAAGTGCAGTGCAACCTAAACAGAATGCATTACTGAAATGATTGGTTTTCTTCAAATGTTCTAATATACTTCAAGAAAGAGACTGGGGCAAATAAAGCTCAATTTCTGAAGAATGAAACAGGTTTCTAAATGCACACTTCTTTTTGTTACAAAAGCAGATTAATTATGAATGAAGTATTATTTGATGCTTCTTTCAAGCAGTAGTAAAGAGTACAATTTCAGAAGCTGACATGTTGGTAAAGGATGTATTAAAATATTCTGACATCCCTTTCTTTAAACCTTAAAGTTTTAGATATATTTTAGATTGCTTATACATTCAGTTAATGAACTGCATATTTTAAACGTGAAACCTTGTGAAAAGGCTCATCTTGTTAAAAGTATCAGTACTTACATTAAAGGCTTTAAAAGAAAATCAAAAACCACAAGACATCACATAGCATAATTCAGCAGTTTCAGCTCGAGTGGTACCCAGGCCACTTTGCCAATAACGAGGACTGTACTGGGATCCAAAGCTAACAGTTTAAGTCTACATCTGGACCTACTGAGCAAACAAACAGGGCTGTGGTCAGGAGTAAACACACTGCTGATATAAATGGAAGAGATGTACAGATGTGTAGCCACAAAGATATTAGACAATTTGGGAACACATATGCTGCATTGGCTGGTGTAAGTGACAAGGACAATATCCCTTAGCCTCTACAATTCAGTCCAGCATTTGGCATTAAAGAGTCGCATTTTCAGTGGATGAAATAAGTGATGTGTGCTACTCAGTGGGTTACAAGGAAGCTACAGAAAATTAAGCACTAAGGAAAAGCACTAAAAATAAGAGACATATAGGAATCAGGTGCAAACTGGTGAGCAGCAGGACATCCAGGTGAGTCACCAGGACAGGAAGGGCGCCAAGCATAAAATACATATTAGAAAAAAAACTACTGATGCTTGGGAAATTTCTAGGGAGAGTTTGCTGTTGTTTACCAGGTGAAAAGAAGCTGTGCTAGTGAGCATTACTGGAAGCTGTAATTTTCAGCTGTCATTCTTGCTAGCAGAATGCCACATAACGTAATGCAAAGTATTGCACATATTTCACCCACTCAGCTTACACCTGCTAGCAAGGTAATTCTACATAGCCAATTTTTCAGTTCGCACAGTGAACAAGTAGAAATCAGACTTTTTGTGCAGCTTCTAATCTTTGTGGGTTTGTTCTGTTTGTTTTCAAGCAGATTCATTCCATTCGGCTTTCATCTACAGATTTCTAAGCAAAAGTTAACTCACAAACCTAAACATCTGTAATTGTTTCCTTAGATTCTGTGTGACATTTTTATCACAACCTAGTGTATGCCTTTTCTCAGTTTGTGATTACAACAAAATCTTTTTGAATGTTTAATTAGCAATAGCTAAATCTACTTCAGATTAATCACAGGCAAGCGTGAAACACATAAAAAGTCATTTCTTCTGTCCTCAGCAAGTGATTTCTGCTTGACAATGGGCAATTCACTGGTATACAAAGGATCTAGAGATACAATTAAATTATATGAAAATGTCACTTAAAACAAATTCCAAAGCTATATGAAAATCTGGTTTTGAACATACTTTACAAGGTCAGTACATTTCTTTGTTCTCTAACTAACAACCCCAGTATCATTTTTAATAAAATTAAAACTGACATATGTGTATCTGTAAATAACTTTGGCTTTGGGAAGCCATTTTAGAGAGACAAAGTAACACACAGCTCTGCATGCAGTTCTGAAGTTTTTGAATTTTGAATTTTCCTATGCATCGCATTTTGAAAACGTTTCACCGCAACAATTTCCATAGCACCCTCTTCTAATGGTTTTACTTTTGGGGGTGGAGATTTTTTAGAAATCATCTAATCAATTAGCTTCTTAATTCCAAAGGGAAAAAATGTTTAATATTAAGCCTTTCAGATGAAATTAATTCTATAAAAATCATAGTCTGCATATGTGCAAGTCCCTGAAAGCTTTATCACTGACTTTCACTGTAAAAATCTGTGACAGTTACAATAATTGCCAGGTACTAAAATTTGAGCACACTTATGCCTTGAAAAGTGTTAAAAGTGCATTTTTTTTCTGGACGATCATGGCAAACCTTCTGTTTCAGGAGGATAAAAATACCCATCACCATCATAATACAAATCACATAAAGTATATACTAACTCTGCAGTAATGCATTCTCTGAGAAAATTAAGAAGAACTGGAGAGCAAAACTCAAAAAGGATAAACCTACACCCTGACAAACAACTAACTGGCCCATGTTGAGCCCTGCATTACTGTCAGTTTCTTTACTGCCAAAGGTTTGCATGTTTACAGCCAATTCTTAACCTCTGACATCTGACTTAGTCTGATCTTACTTATTTTTAACAGTGACACTATATTAAAAATGTATTCATGTTGTCCTTTCTAGTATCACAAATTTTATTCTGAGACTACACAGACAGCTGTTATATTACTTAGCAGCAGCATATTTCACCTTGATTTGTAACAAATGGCCACTTAAGGTGTCCATTCACTGAATAATGCTACATCTTTTATTGCATCTTGTACTCCACAGAAGATTCAGTATTAGTAAATAATCCCACTTGGCCAAACTTAAGAGCAGTCCAAACTATGAGCTGCTATGATCAACACAACATAGAACACAGCTCCACAAAGACATGCTTTAAGATAGCTCATCTATTTTCAGTGACTTTCTAATAGTGATCCTTACTAGCAATCAAATTTCTCCTTTCGTAAAAAAATCTCAGTATTCAAACTGTTAAGATGCCATAAGGTCCTAAGTGCTGCAAAGACTTACTGCTCAGTACCAAGTAGTATGGAATATCCTCAACGATTTTGAGCACCTACAGTAGGCAGGCTCTGTCATGGTCTTCCTGTGTGACCTTCTACAAGTCACTCATGCCAAATATTATGTCCTTAAAACGTCACAGAAGAAAACGTTCTTTGATTGGAACAGGGCAAGGCAGCGAAATTCCTACCTGAATATTTATGTAACCTTATTCACTTAAAAATCTGTGTTCTTTTTCTCCATTCTCATCTGCAAAATTAGGACAAAGAGAATCTTGTTTCCAGCCTGTGTCCAGCTGTTTGTCTATGTTCCAAGATGGAGAAGGTTCGTTATTTAATGCTGGTGTAGCATTTAAAGGTGGGGCCTTACACAGCGGTACTTTTGAATGCCTCTTACTGCTTCTTTGGTGACAATGTCAGGCTTACAGCTGTTGTGACTTGGTTTTTGTTTGAATGTTTAACAAGTGGTTTTCAGTACCCAAGGCAAGCAAGGACAGCTGAGAGCTTGTTTTGGTCTAATTTATGTTAATATTGCAAAATATTTTGCAGAAATACTGTGGAAAGATTGCTCCTAAGTTTAATTAGACATGTCTAAAAATGGTACGCTTGCATGAAAAAAAAAATGTTAGTCCAAAGGACATAAACGTGGTATTATTTTTATCCAAATGAAATAGACAAAACCAAAAACAAACAAATAAAACCCAAAGAATAAATTTGTTGCTAAAAAGCCTTCCTAGCCTAAGCAAGCCAAAAAGATTTTGTGACTGGAATAAGTTAAGCAGTTAAGCTCCACTTCTATTAAAACTCACCAAGATTTCTTACTTATGGTATTGTAAAACAGTTTACTTCTCGTTTGAATGCTAAAGTTGGTTTAAAAGTAAGCAATATTCAATGATTTCTGAAGTTACTTACCCAGTATAACACATCAGTCCATCCTTCCATGGTTATACACTGGAACACAGTCAACATTGCAAATGCAAAATTATCGAAGTTCGTTATGCCTCCGTTCGGTCCAACCCAACCACCCTTACATTCAGTGCCATTCATGACACACTGACGTCCATTCCCTGAGAATGCACAAGGTGCTGGATCTTCTTCAACTAGTATATCTGAAAATTGACCAAAAAAGTCTCTTTCATTTCTCAAACATTTGTGAGCTAATTCTATATGAAGAAATATCAAACCTATCGGAACATAAAGCTAGATATCAGCCTGAGAAATGCTGAGAAAGGGAACTCGTGAGCTCTAGAGATGCTTATCTCTCTGACACCTGGGCCCTTCAATCTGAAAATATTTTAATCAAAACCGAGCACATAAAAGAGCTCAAGTAATTGAGCAATGGGTAGGGAAAAAAAAGCATGTTCACAGTCATAATAATGCAACATATCTTTCCAGAAACACCCCATACACAATGCCTTGGGTTTTTTTCCTCTTCACTTCATATTGATGTACAACCAAGGAAATAGGTCAAGACTAATTGTTTTGTGTAGTCTACTTCATCAGGTGAAGGAAGCATACCTTTAGCCATCACATATTTCTCCCTCACAAAAACATTTCACTCCTTCAAAACTCTCCCATAAGAAACACCTTCATTGCATCACTTGCATAGATGGAGGAACACTGTTTCCTTTTATTAGTCATCTTAGAACTCTATTTTTTGTTATACTATTCAAAATAAATACTGACGGACAGACACTGCCAAACTGTAATCTCAAGAGAGTATAGCTTACCTGTTATGGGACATCTGGAGAAAATACTGATTCGTATCTTGCAGATAGCAACCCCTAATATTTTCAATGCTAACACTGCAGTTAGACATTTCATACATTAAAAGCTGTACAGAACACATTCAAGTCTCTGTTTTTCATGTTGGTGGTGGTGGTGGTAGTACCAGTTTCCTTGACTGTTTTTAAACAGAATATACTTTTCCTAAAATTACAGTCCATCGAAACCGCGGGTTAAAACAGTCTCAGTGCTTCGCCCCTGTTCTATTTCAAACTGAAATCCCACAGGCTTGAAATACAACAGAACCAATCCCTTATTTTAGTAACTAGTTTCATGACTTACCTGAATCAATAAGAAAACAAGATTTGTGCATTTTTCCAATAAAAAGTTCCAATCCTATAATAGCATAGATTATGATTACAAACAATACCAAAAGGGCAATATGGAGCAGGGGAACCATGGCTTTTATAATGGAGTTCAGGACAACTTGTAAACCTAAAAGAAAAGAAGATACAAGATATGAACTTGGTTTCTATGTTTATGCCATCCCAAAACTTCTGTAATTGCACGTTATTCAAAATTCATGATACACACAGGCAGAGAGTATCCACTGAAAAACATTTTTACTGCCCAGAATCATATCACATATTTTATATGAGATTATAGCTTTTTGTCAAAGCCTAATGATTTCCTCTGTTAATAAATGTTATGTCATGGAAGCCAATGCTTAAAATGTGTCACAAGAAATCACAGTTGGATTTGTTTTAGAAATGAAATGAAAGCCATGGTGAGTGGCTGCAGGTCATTTTACAAGACCTCTAAGAAGTCCTATGCTACAATAACAACTTTGCAACAAGTCCACGGAAATTGCATTTACATATCTCTCTGGATTAAAAAAAATATATATTTCTGCAACTGGCTATTTAGGAAAACTCATTTTCACTTTGAACAATCTTACTTTTTAGTTATTCATATTTCACATCACTTTCAGAACTAATTTCACTTTTCTTGTATTTTCTCCTTAAATATTAAGCCAAATTTTGTTCTTACTAAAATAAGTAAACCACAAACTAATGAGGTTGCCAAAGTACCAATGAGAACAAAACATGGCTCATTTTTATTTCAAAATTCTTGTCTGGCATTTCTTAAGACTGCTTCTTTCTTCATTTAATCTCTTTTGCTAAATATATGCCGAACGCAACCATCTCTATGTAGGAGACTATGATATGATAAATACAATGAATGGAAAGAGTTGAGTTGTAAGCCATGAACTTCTTACTCAGCCCAAAAAGCTTCAGTAATTAGTAATGCATGAAAAGAAAATGGGAAGGATTGTTATAAAATTCAATTGCTTTCTTTAAATAATATTGCTCTACTTTTCAAGTCTCGTAATTTATCTGGTAGCTTTATTGACATAAACAGAAGGCATTCATGTGCATTGGAGGGGGCAGGAAATACGAAATGTGTAATGTGCTTTGGCACAGATTTACCAAAATATAAACTATTTTAAGATCACCTACATTTTCAGATGCGTAGGATTTAGAATTTTAAAAATCTGAATTTTAATTTTTGGTTTATTTGCATTTAAACACGCAATTCAATTTTATATAAAGCTTCTAAAAAGGAAGTGTATTTGCCCGTCTGCTTATTGAACTGTGTAAAAAGATCATACACTGAATGAATTCACAATCCTCTGCTCAAATTGAAATAGCATATCATTCATCTTGAATCTCACTTTATATAAACAACCAGATAACAAAAATCAACTTCATATTATCTCATTTATGCTAGTGTCTGGAACATGAAAGTTAAACAGTCAGATCAGTTACGATATTTATTTCAATAGAATTAAATAGAAAAGAGCTTACTGGGCACTCCTGATACAAGCCGGAGAGGTCGCAATACACGAAAGGCTCTTAGGGCTTTGACATCAAAGCCTCCAGGTTTGCCACCTGAGTGGCTGCCACCTTCTGTTTCTTTGGTTAATTGTTCCAATATTACACTAAATAATCTAGAAAATGAGATGAAGGGTAAGGTCATCACCATCCATTTGCCACGCAATCAAAGGTATTAGGAAATTACTTGAACTGCAGAGAACTCTGCAAAGCCATCCAGATTTCAAAGTGAGAGGAATATCGGCGTATTAAATCATGACAGGAAGAGTCATGAATTGCAAGAGCTAATCCCTTCTGAGAGTGACAATCACACAGTCTCCAATAAATTAGCATCCTACTTGCACACACCCCGTGGCTATTTTTAAATAAGTGAAGATAAATGAAGCTACTTTGCCATTTCTCCTTGTTCAAACGTTTTAACTGTGAAGTTTGGAGAAGTAGCCTTCTCTTTAAAATATGAAATAGATAATCACAAGAAACCATCTGTTTTAATTTTAGTGGGACATGTGAACTCCAAGTGACTTCAATATGCTAAATACAGTCAGCAAAAGCTGAATATATTAAAAAATAATTTGAGGCCAAAATTTAATAACACAGAAAAAGATTTGTTTCTTATTCATAATAACCTTGAGTATAAAAATATTCCCAGATGACTCATTTGTTATATTGTATTTTTTCACTGCAGAAATGAGCCAGTAATTCATTAGAAGAATTTGGAAGACAAGGTTTTATTTTTCCCTCCCACTTCCAGCAGAAATTCAAACTCATGCAAGTGTTTGAAATGCAAAGTAATCTTAGACCTATTTTGGTTTCAACCTGAATTTGAGACGCATTGTTTTCCACACAAAACTCAGGACCATGAAAACCATAATAATCCTTTGCACAGAGTCTGCAGTCCAATACTTGCAAAACTGCACTTCTCCTGAAAAGATTATCAAGCCAATATTCTTGCAATTCTGAAATATTTCACATTTGCAAAGGACTCCTGAAATGTGTCGGTTTTTGGCTTCATCAAAAGAAATTTTCACAACTCTGGTTCACAGTGCTGCAGGATAGTTGCTGTAAGTCATATAATGCCAAAAGTAGAATACTGAAGACTTTTTCCTTCCCCAGTCAGCAATCAACCTGTATCAATTAATTCCCATCCCTGGTCTGCTTCGCTGAAAGAAAGCCAGACACAAAGAGCATCACGTGGCTCTTAGAATGAACATCAATCCAGCAACCCACCCTCTGTAACACCCTGAGAAATCCACACAGTATTTCAGATCCTGATTCACGTCATAATTTAAACGAAGAATAATTCTAAGAAAATGAGCCACCTCAACGATTTCAGCTAGACTACTTGTGCTCCAAAGACAACATGGTTAAACAGACTTCTGAATAAAACCCCAATTTAAGAGAAGCTGCTTTCAAGCCTGCCAATCAGTACATTATTCAGAAAATTTTTATTTCAAAATTCTGCAGGCATAAGAAAGCACTATAAAAGCACAATGAAAGCTTTCTTTGCTAGACCCTCATTATTTCACTTAAATCAACAGAAATTGCATGACAAAGAATGCAGGCAAGTAATAGAGTGCTCAGAAGGTAATTCCTACTCTGGTTTCAGAGAGAAGTGACAAGGACAGGAGTAATAGCAGCCATATCTACACTTGTCATTTTATGTCCATTATCTAAAGCCATTAAGGTATAAAACATACAAACTCTTATTATTTTTAAAATTGACATTTATCCTCCTGTACAGTTTATCAAATTTTAAATGCTGAATTTCATGTTGGGGAAAAAGCCTATGCGCATGTTTGTCCTTTCCCGGCAGAGATTTCTTTTGGCACAGTTAAGATTTATGCATTTGGACTGCCTTAGTTTGTGCTGAAAAAGCAGACAGAGCAAATTTCATCTAATGTGTTGACTATAGGACAGCATGGCAGCTCTTTCAAAGCTATTAAAATACCTAATGAAATTGCATGGTGATGCTAGTCAAATAGAATCAGATCCAGAAGTGATTCCATATCCATCTTGAGTTACATATGAGAATCAACTCTCCAGTAGGCTTTTCTCTTAAGTATTAGTTAGATAAATGGATTCACTCTTGTTTCCTTACTTACGTGCATGGTGTTTTCTCTTGGGTTTTGCATTGTTGTTTTTTTAACAAAGAGAGCAAAAACAAATTGTGTGTTACTGAAGGGCAATAATTCCATGAAGATGACAACTGATGGCAACATACAAAGTAATTTACACCTCAAAACATCTGGGTTTGAGCTAGAACTTAAATCGTAGTGTGATATTTTAGTTATTTTATAAGATGTAGTCCCTTTTTTTTCCTATTTTTTATGCACACAGTGCTAATATTTGACCTAACCAGATTTAGCTTCCAATAGTGAGCATTTTTTGAGTTAATGGAAAGATTTTTAGTTATCATGTATTTAGGACAGAGCCAAAGATAGAGGTCATGTTAATTAGACTGCTCCAGGCTTACTGTAGCTCCATGGTCATTTGACAAAAGAGAAGAGGTCTATTCAAGTGAGCCTGGCAAGAGAACAGAGCTTTTATCTCTGATAGCCTCCATACCTACACACCAAGCTTTCCCTTCAGGCACAGAGGCCAATCTGTTGAGAATGACCTAACCTGATGAAGGATCTATTTATATACAAATTTTAGTCCTCAATGAAAATTTCTTTCTGGCCCATGCAACTGGCCTGAATACAATCTTCTCAGTAATTTTTTTCCTATCTCAGAATCAAATAGTTATAAATTGGTTGTTAACACATTCAGAATACTTCCCCATATTTAATAATGCTTTACCACAAATTCCTTTACTTTGCATCTTTTCCCTTAATGCAGTGGCATGAATTAGAAGCAGAACACTCTTGAACTCCAGGGCTTTTTCAATTACACAGAACTTGATATAGTTTGAACTTCCATACCAAGTTCTTCTTTGCAAGCCAGCCACAATCTACAAGGTTACATGGAATAACATTCTCCATAGGCTATATAAATTTTAAAAGATTAGCAAAAAATCTGCAATACTGGAAATTCCCTTTTTCAATAATCACTTTCCAGGGGACATTCAACTCTCCACTCTTTGGTAACTTGCACAAGGCTTGAGCAGTAACTTGTCAGAGGAGGGAAACCAACACTCAACAGCTTCTTGACACAGCAACAGGCAAGACAACTAAGGAGCATATGTCTTGTCAAATTGTTTGGCAGAACACAGAAATCCCTATGAACTTCCAGTGTATAGCTGATGGTGCAGTACAGCCTACACCAGTGAAAACTTTTGATTTTATACTGAGTTCTTCTCTCTTCTCAGTCAATGCTTTTACTCCAGAGGAATAAATGTCAAGCTCAGGCCCTTACTCACAGCCAAACAGATCTATATCTACTTCACTGTAAAGAAGACTTTAAAACCTTTTTACAATAGAATATGAGTTACTTACCCTACTACTACTATTACAAAATCCAATAAATTCCATCCATTTCTAACGTACGCATTGGGGTGTAATAATAATCCATATGCTATAATCTTCAAAAATGTTTCAACTGTAAAAATTATCAGGAAGGCATATTCTACTTTTTCCTGTAAAAGACAAAGAAAAAGTACAATGAAAGACAATGCAATTTAACAGCTCTTTTACTATTTAAAATTCACAGTAAGAGGGTAAGTCGTATTGATCTGGATTAAGGAGAAACAGTACTTCCTGTCAGTTTATTTTATGGACTTTAATTGCATAGCATTTAATGTTAGCTGTACTGACAACGTCGTAATTACACAACAGCATGAGAATTTTCCTTTTTTGGCATTGCATGAGAAAAAAAGTCTCCAATTCGGCAAACACTAAAATACTCTGCCTTTGCTTAAGCAAATAGTCCCATCCAGATCAATAGGATTCATTACATTCATTAAAACCAGAAAATGGTGTAGAATAGGATCCTTGAAATATCATTAAAAGGTATGCAGAGCTATACTAACTGAACTGTTTTCTACATCAGCTTTTAATTACAACGCACAGAATTCTGTTTATTAAAGGAGTTTGAGACAGAGTCATAGTGCACTAATGAGCTTTGAAAAGTTATTATGAGAGTGGTCTTAATTTAATTCCGCAGTCATCCTGACATGGAAGTTTATATTGACTTATTCTTCCTTGTATATCACGAGATTTGCTTTAAGTCATCCTAATATGCTTGAAGAAATGTTCATTTCATATACCATCACCCTGTATCATTGAAGGTCCGATTTACATCTGTTTCAATACTTTTTTAAAAGCACTATTATTACAATGTATCTTCATTTTGCCAGAATTCATATTTTAAACCAACATAAATATTGAATCTCTTTTCATAAGTAACGGATAATAATTTTTTGTGTCTTCTTCTTTGTCTCCTGAAAGCACATTTGATTTGGATAAGTTGTAAAAATCGCAGCTATCAGAACAGATCAATTAACACCTTTATTCTTTTTACCTTCAGAAATCATCATTTCATTGCTTTGTATAACACTTGCTTTCTTATCTGACATTATGCAAATATTAGAGCCATGAATACAAGACACAGAATGATTCATTTTTTTTAAACTTCTTCAGGCACTTACGGATGTTGTTCACTGTTATCATACACAGCGTTAATTACACGGATTGTAATTGCTCAGTAAAGATGACAGTCAGAAAACAAGGATTACAGAGCTTCACCAAGGCAGTTTCACCTCAGCTACATTGTTTTGCATGAGTTCTTCTGCCCCAGTGACACTGATGGACATTCTTTTCCCTCCCACCATATTCTCCTGCTGTTTTTCCTAACACCAATTTCAAAATTGCCCCTTCCACTTACTAATTTTGCACTGATAAACTGGAACAATTACATGGTAACAAGATTCAAGTGAGGTCAGAGAGTTATAAATGTATGTGAATATTCACATACATTTACATAATACATAATATTCAGCCATTATATTTCTTTGATCAGAGAGCACAACGAAGGTTACAATAACATTAATTATGATGCTCCTGAGAACCAAAACTGCTGAAATCCAGCCAAGCTCTACCATGTATACATTCCATAATAACAGCTATTTCAGTCTCCCTATATACAAGTCTCTAAGTTGTGTAAAGAAAGATAAATAATTTAAGACAACATAAGGAAGACAAAAATATTAGGTTGGCATTTGCTATAGGCAAAATACATATCAGTAACCAGAACAGTAAAAGAAAACGTGAAACAAAAGAGAGGAACCTTCATATATATGCAAATGTCAACAACTCGTTAACATGAAAGGAAAGCAGAACTGTCTTGACATGAGCCAGCAGTGTGTTCCTGCAGCAGAGAAGGTCAACAGTATCCTGGGCCTCACCAACAGAGGGGTGGCAGCAGGGAGAGAGGGGACTGTCACCCTCATGACTGCCCTCATGAGACCACACGAGACTAAGTCCACCTGTAGGTCCCCCAGCACAAGGATGTGGAGATGTCAGAGTGAGCCAGAGGAGGGCTATAAGGTTAACTGCAGAGCTGGAGCACTTCTCCTATGAAAAAAGGTTGAGGGAGGTGGGTTTGTTTAGGTGGGAGAAGAAAAGGATCCCCAGAGATCTTGTGGTGGCTTTCTGTTATTTGAAGGGAGTTTACAAGCACATTGGGGACTTTTAACACAAGCTGATAGTGATAGGACAAGAGGAAATGGTTTCAAACTAAAAGAGGAGAGAGGTAAGATATCAGGAATTTTTTTATGCTGGATGGCATGGATTGTGCTGGATTGGCACAGGCTGCCAGTACCAGTTGTGGATGCCCCATCTCTGGAGCAGTTCAAGGCCAGGTTGTATGGAGCCCTGGGCAGTCTGATCTGATAGGCGGCAACCAGCCCACAGCAGGAGGGTGATGATCTAGATGTTTGAGGTCCCTTCCAGCTCAAGCCATTCTATGATACTGTGATCAGATTTCTGGGCCATTATGCCCACTGAGATGTTACTACAGGCAAAGATGTAATATAATCCCCCCCTTAATCCTACCAGACTCTTTTCTAAAAAGCATCTTTGCCCCTTCCTGCTCATCTTCACAGAAAGTTTTAATGCTCTACGGCTATTTGGGCTAGGCACCAACCCTTGTCCCAGAGTAACTTGCTTAATGGTAAGATACTCCTGCTGTTCATTTGAATGCTACAGTTCACATCTAACTCTATTCTACTATTTAACCTCCATCTTTCAAAATGCATTGGTCTTGTTCCTGTCAATTTTCTTTCCTTCCTATGGAAGCAGGACTGTTTCCTATTTCTTAATTAGTACCCCATTCAAAAAATACTCGACCTGGAGCAAGCACTTTTTAAACCCAGTGGTGATAGCTCTTACTGTCACAAGCTTTTTACTTCTGGTTAACAGATCAGGGAGAAAAATGATACACAGTTTCAATGCAGTTATAGTGAAGTTGTACCTTTCAAGCAAGACTGAAAATAATAATATAATTATAGTGAGAACAAGCATTTGGGAGCAGTCAAGACATGAGGAAATCACATTTTAGCACCATTATGAACCACTTTTATTATCAATGCATAGAATTTGGGGAATATACATTTTTGGGATTCACTATTTTCCAGTTTTTCAAATCTTACTCTAACCTGTAGGCCTAGAGATGATTTTTTTTTATTATTTTTTTTAATAAGCACTATTTTCCAAGCATGCTCTCCTTGGTCTACAATCAACACAATGGGATCCTACTCCTCCTATCCTGCCTTCTTTTGGAAAAAAGCTCTAATGAAAGATGTGGTTTAGTGGGCATGGTGGTGATGGGTTGATGGCTCACTATTCCAACCTTAACAATTCTATAATTCTATGAAAAATACAAGCAGTGTGTGACAAAGATAAGCACTGGGTACTGGCCCATTGAAGATCTGTACCAGTTGGCATTAATTAAAAAGAAGACAGACATTAGGATGGCTATTTCAAAGCAAGCTAGAACTCTGGATGGGTAATAACACAGCTGGTAAACTTGCTTTTATGAGACATTATGGTAAGTTTTCACTGTTAGTCATTTTGGTTTTACTGTTTCAGATTTGCTATATCAATCTCATGCAATGTATACAGAATAGAGAGAAGTGCTAGAAAAGGGACAGACAATCCTAACATGAAGAATGAAAAATAAATATACACTGGCACTTACACTGGCATTCTGTTCCCTAAATTCACAAGAGAGCTCCACATAACGCTAAACTAGCGGGGATCAAGGCAACAGGATGCCACACAGCTGCACAGCAGGTGAGTTCTGCATTCAGAGCATTCTGAATTGCAGAGCATGAAGCAATCTGAGAAAGCTCTGCATGACAAGGCAAAGGGACTTTAAGAAAACTTGACAGCTGGACCAACAGAAACTTCATGAATTTCAAAAAGGAGAAATGTAAAGTTCTGTACCTCGGGTAGAATAATCCCACACGTCAAGACAGGTTGGGAAAATCACACTGGGAACCACGTTAAATGTGCTGGTTTTAAATAAGACGAATTGCATACTGAGCTACATTAGAAATTCCTGAGCACAGCCAGGAAACTGTAGGAAATTACTATCCCAACTCCCCATGCTGCTGAGGCTGTGCAACAACTACAGTTTGGGGCCCCTTATTTCACAAAGAACACTGATAAAGTGCAAATTCCAGTGAAAGAAAGATCATTTCTCCATCAAAAAGAAGGCTAGTAAGTGTTTAACAGTGGACAATAACTACTTGAAGGGGAGTTACAAAGATGATGAAGCTATATACAAAGTAGCAGCAGATGGCAAAACATGGGAAAAGAGCCACAATCTCCAAGTTTGAAATTAAGAGAGACTTCTCTACCAATAAGGCAATCTAACACCCAAAGAGGTGGCTTCATGGCAAGAAGTTTAGAAGATGCAGCTATATAACACAGCACAGCTGATCTAACTGCATACTGGCAACTGTCCTGCTAAGAGCTGCAGTTCTAGATAATCCCCAAAAGTTCTTCCCAGTTCATACTTCTATTATTTTAATCTATTTCAAATAATTCTTACATGAGCACAAAGAAAGGTACAGATAGAACTGGGACAAGTTTGACTACCTACATCCACTCCATATGTAAAAGCCCCTGCAGTTTGCATAGTGTTGAACAACGTGGGAGAGTTTTCCTGCAGTTCTTGGGAGAAATGCACGCCCCAGTTACAGGGTTTGCCCCAAGATACGTATATTCATAATGGATACAAGACAGAACCAGAGATGATGCCAGTAACTGAGTCAGTGGCACAAAGGAAGGATGCTTTTTAACAGAATAGCCAGTGAGCATTTCAAGAGAAACAGCTTGAAAAACTTGAGAAAATATAAGGAAATCATTAGTATACATCTACTACTACAGAACTCTATTATTCTCAACACTATGTTTCTTTCCTCCTTTTTCCTTCTCTTTTCATTTTCCTCCCTTCCTCCACACTCTTGCACACTCACTCCTATTTTATTTTATTTTTTTTTCCTTTTTTTTAAAATACACTTTGTATCTTCCACAGTGGCCAGAGGAGAGATTTGGCCCAGTATTTAACAATAGTACCCAAAGTACCGGCTGTGCTTTGCTTACACTCTGTGTTTCAGTAAGTGGGCAGCCA